TATCCCCTCCTCGCTGTGCAGGTCTTAGGTCGATGCCTTGTCCTCGTGCTACATTGGCGAGGTCGCTGTAGCTTATCTTGAAATTCTCATAGAACTCTGACTTGATATTATTGGCTTCGGCATAACGGGCGTAGTCTAGAAGAATACCCCTCCCTGCAATGCCACGAGTGGCCCACGCTTGGATGCCGCACTTAGTCGAACGATTCTCGCCAGAAATATCCTCGGCGGTAGTCTGCGAGATACCTACGCTTGAATACCATCCTGCTGGGCTCAAAAATATTCATTCATGGACTTACTCTGTTATAAAAATATCCTGAGGGTACGTGAGCGAACTGTCTGGATCAGCGCAAGTCCCAACTACCTGCTTGAGAATACGATTCAATCTCACATGGCGGAACCCGTCCCACTGAGATGTGCTTTGGGGGTTCATGTCGTAAGTATCATCAAATGTATGGGCACCGCCTTCGCCATGAATGCGGTGCTTGAAGGCACCTCGCCCATAACAAGGTGGCGCTGGTTGGTCAAATGGAAGACTGGTATAGGCCCAGATTAATGAAATGTCTATTTATTGGCGTATCATCGTCGGGGGCATTATAGGACCTATACTTACCCAAGAGGAATGGTCTCCCCAGATACAACGGTCTTCAGCGCATTCTTCACTCTCTCTGGCGTTTGGAGATTGAGCCTACCAAGCTTGAAGCCAGTGTCAGCATTAAACACATCCACGAAGACATATCAGATATGACGGACCTCGTCATCACTCCCCCATATCCACGCCGAGTCCTCAGGTTCGTCAGATTTCGGACGCAAGTCCTTTCTTAATGGAAGCTCCATCTTGAATTATAGCAGTACGGCCTTGGGATAACAGAAGGTGAATAACGCCTGCGAAAGTACACCTGATCATTGAGAATGAAGTTCCCACAAAACTGACTACAATATCCGTAGCGGGGAAATATATGCTGTTGAATTCGGGAGTAAGCCGACCTATTGGTTTCCCCTCACGAAGCAAGTGACGTTTTTATGCGTGGAGCGAGCAGATCTTTTTCGTCTTACAACCCAAGACGACTTCTCGGAATCTCGGGCTCTGGCACTGAGGCTCTCGTGATGGCAGAATCCGCCTTGTGTACCTTGGTACATGTAAGTACTTACATTCATGTTGCATATGTTCACAATTTTTCTTATTGCCCTCAAGTTGGTAAAGCACCTAGGTACATACAGTATGTATGTAGCTCCTATCTTTATGTACATGCAGATTAGCCCGTTCCCTCGTAACTCACTGCCCGATTTTCACAGCCTGCATCGGCCACCAATAGAAGCCTACGATCATGGCAAGTGCTCTGAGCTCCAACGATGGCAGTGCAAGTCTCAGGAAAGCACTAAAATTGAATAAATTTTACTCTAAGTCACCTTGTTCTCCCACCGTATGTTCATATTATGTCTTTTTCTCTCGCTTGTTAATTCTATCCCTTTTTGGTTCATAGGGGTTGCCCGCAATAATGCGAATACCGCAACAATGGATCCCTTAACAGCCTTGGGGCTATCGGCTAACATTTCTCAGTTTGTCGGTTATGCTATCAAACTCGTTTCAGCATCTACGAATATTAAGAACTCGGCAACAGGATGCACAAGCCAGGTTGCGATGCTTGACGAAGTATATACAGAGCTCAGCAAATTAAGCTCTAGGCTTGGGTCAAGTAACATCTCTACCAACGTAGGAATAATACGCAGCCCGTATGCTGTCGAACACATTGACGCCATCAGCAAACTGTCACGAACCTGCAAGCAGGATTGCAATAGACTCTTAAACGTCACAACTGAGCTAAAAAGCAAGAACCACATTACAAATAAAAGGACCTCATTTCTAATTGCCTTGAAGACCATTTGGAAAAAGGGTGAACTCGATGAAATAGAAAAACGATTACACTCCACTCAGTCTGTACTAACACCTCACGTTTGCTCGCTTACCAGGTATGGCAGTGTGGTATTCTTACTAGTTCCCATTCAGTTTCACTAACTTGATACCATGAACCAGTACCTTGCAAGATAATTACTACCGTCAACTCGAAAAGATGCATACGATGAACCAAGATATGAATATGCAACAGTCTGAGAGGCTCACCGCACTTAAAAGTTCTGTTCAAGATTTAAATCAACATGTTACAGCCATGTTACAAAACCAACAGATTGGCCGGTCCTCATCAGCCGACATCATTGACCTTGAGAATCGCATGTCTCAACTCTCACTATCAAAGTCTGCTATTGCTAAAGAGTATGTGATACTCAAGAGCCTCAGTTTCGAGAGTCGACCAGCTAGATACCATTCTATTCAAGAAGCTCATAAACGAACCTTTGAATGGGTGTTTCAAGATACGTACGATCCGAACTCTGATTCCAATACCAGCAGCATCTTGAAATGGCTCAGAGAGGGAGATGGGATCTTTTGGGTCTCGGGAAAGCCGGGGTCGGGCAAGTCGACATTGATGAAATTTATCAGCGACGACCGCAGAGCTTTGGAAGCATTGTCTGTGTGGTCTGGGCCGTTGCCGGTGGTTATTGCCACACACTTCTTCTGGAGCGCTGGTACGTCAATGCAAAAATCAAGACAGGGCCTTTTGCAAACACTCCTTTTCGAAATCTTTCGACAGCAACCAAACTTGATCGAGCCATCTTGTATCGAGCGATGGCAGAATATCAGCAGAAATATAAAGTTGATGTCATGGGGCACACCAGAGCTCCTCCGAATATTAGATCGCATAGCCCATTTTGACAGACTATCCTCCAAATTCTGTTTCTTTATCGATGGCTTGGACGAATATGAAGGGGACCACGGGAAATTCTGTCAAGCGTTGAGCCGACTTTCCAACTCGCCTCATATCAAGCTTTGCGTTTCGAGCCGCCCTTGGAATGCTTTTGAGGGCTCGTTTGGCCAGGATATATCATCCAAGCTCTACATCCACGACTTAACACAGGGCGACATTCGTACCTACGTGCAAGAGTCTCTAGAATCGCATCCGAGATGGAATGAAATGGCCTCTGGGGTGAAAACTGCGAGTGATTTGATAAATGAGGTCACGCGTAGAGCGGCCGGTGTGTTTCTCTGGGTGTACCTGGTTATTAGGGAGCTACGAAATGGACTTACGGAATACGACAGCCTTTGGGGCCTGCAACGACGCCTTGAAAATGTTCCGGATGACCTGAGAGACTTCTTTCATCAGATCCTTGGATCAGTCGACTCATTCTATCGCGAAAAAATGGCTAGGATATTGCAAATTGCTTTGACTTTGGAGGAGCCAGCGTCAACCTTGATCTACATTTGCCACGAAATTGAGTATGAAAATGAAGATTATGTATTAGGTTGTTTTCCGGATGCGAGAGCAAGAGAGGAATTTAACAAACCTGAAATATTCCGCCACCGCCTCAATGCCAGTTGCCGCGGTCTCCTCGAGGTTAATTCTCACAACGGTGTCGTCGAGTTCTTTCACCGTACAGTAATGGATTTCATGAGAACTAAAAAGATGACTGCTTACTTGGATCGCAATGTCGGAACTGCATTCAACCCTCATCTCTCACTTTTGAAGGCTTTCACGGGTAAACTTAAATTCCTGGTTACCCCTCGTAGCCGTGTGTATGCTGACGAAACCGAACTTGCTTTGGTGAAAGACGTACTTGTCCACGCCAAACCAGTGGACAAAGATATGACGGCACACTATGTGCTGGAAGAATTGGAACGTTACATACGAGAAGTAGAGGGTTCTCTTAATCAGCCATGGTCCCTTGGATTTTGTACGATCACAAGAAGGATGATCGTTGAATCCTCTCTGGTTGGCTATATAGATTATGCCTTACATAAATACCCAAACTACCTGCCAAAGTTTGGCAGGCCTATCATGGTTGAAGTCATCGAATTTTGGGGAATAAACCCAGGCCATAAAAGCAATACTGATGGAACGATTGAGATGTTACGGTACTTCCTAGAATGTGGCCATGACCCTAACGAGGAATACATCATTGATAGCAGCACCAAAACCCCTTGGGGACATATCTTTTACGATGTGATTTTTTTTGGAGTTCCTGAAGTGTTTGTTCAATGGCTCCAAAGCGGATTGCTTTCGCTGATGCTTAAACATGGCGCAAATCCAAATATCCACTTCTTTTCGTGGGCAGGTGTTCTTCCATGGACGGCTTTTGCTCATAAGCTCTTTATTATACCTCTGAGTTTACAAAACAAGAACGCCTCCCTTACACTTTTAGGAGATTTTGCGAATGCTTGCATTTCGGACAGTGAGGCTCGCCCCCCCGGACCCAAACCAGATGTCAAGGGATTGGAGGAAGAGTTGAGTAAAAATTTCGAGCGCATAGGTCAGAACTCTCGGTCAACAGACCTCATGTTCTTCGCCGCGGTCTCCGAGAAACTTCTCCAGATGGCAAAGATATACAGGGTTGAAATCAGTTGCTTCTTGCCGATTGTGGAGAAGACATTCCCGCCTCACCTTCTCAGGAATCTGAGAAATAACGTCTTCAATGATCACACCAACAACTTGATACCAACAATGTCGGATATCAGGCCTCGCTCACTCAAACGAGGACCAACAGATTTTCAAGACGACCAGTTAGTACATAAGAAGGGGAGGAGTGGCGAGTCGGCAACGACCGATGAAAGCTAAAGGGGTTACTGAATCTGCCTAATCAGGCGATTGTGAATCAAATTTATTTTGACCATATCTTAAAGCCTAGGCGGCATATGGCTTACTACCGAAGGCGTGATCACAGCGACTAAAGCATACTTGCGGTATTTTAGGAATGTCCGTTTGCATTAAACTGAGTATATCTCCAGCAAAACTCAGATACCTACCAGGCACTCTACCTTGAACAAGAACCAATTGCCCTCCCGCTATGAATAGACCCATTCAACTATCATGGTCTCGACGCTAAGAAAATTAGATATTTAAAAAAGGTTGGATGGAATCTATGTAGATTCCTTCAGGTTAGGTAGACGTTAGTCCGAATTGGTGTAATGGCTAACATTTGGTGGTCTCATAATATATCAACCAATATATTCAGTGATCCGCCAAGCCCGGGGTTCGATTCCTCGATTCGGAGTTCCTTTTACTATCTTTTTTCCTCTAGGCTGTGTAGCTGGGCAGTCATAGTTATCCAGTTACAAATTGCCCTTGGATATTCCGTATGTAGGGTCAAGATGATAGTGATACATCGGCATGAAGCCAATGGAGCCAATGGCACCGGAGATGGATACTCATTGCCTGGGATGGCGGGCGAACGGCTTAGAACAGCATTAATGGGAGATGACATCTTGGTTTTCAGTTGTTATACTTTCACCAATATGGCAAGGTTTAATTTTCTCTTTTGAAGGGACGTCCAAGAGCCGTGAGTGTCTAGGGGTAAAAACTCTAGATGTAGTTGGTCAGTGTACTTCAAAATTCTCATGAGCACCATTTACCCAACCAAGTCTATTCAAGGGGTTGTAGAACTATGGTTTCCCCCTCGAGGTGCAAAAGGAGCACAGAGTATAGCGCGGTAGATAATATTACCCGGTAGCCCCCTGCGAGCCAAGGGTCGCCCCCCCCTCTTGCTGAACGTATGGTTAAGAGAACATCACATGTATTGCAGCTGGCAATGAGCGCGAGAGGCGGTTAAACGATATCTCATCCAAGCAGTCCTAGACTCTCAAAGGCTGTTAGGTAATACGAATGAGAGAAAATTGAAACGACGTCGTATTCAAGGGCTGAGAATCAATCCGAGCCACTTATATTCAGCTGCCATAGCCTCTCGTCTTACTGCTGAAATGCCCAATTTGAAATTACATATTTCGCTATCACATGGTGATCGATACCAGAATCGGTCACAAAATTCAGCTCGAAGCCCAACAGGAGAACGATCTTCTATATTAATTTATCACTCCTGTAGGAAGTGCACGTTTGGGGCTATTTCGCAAGGCGTATAGTGAACCGGTAATGTTACCTCTAGACATCATGCATGTAAGATATAGCGACGACTTGCTTCAATAACTCCTCTTCATTGATCCGTATTGGTAAGGGAATAACTAGCCAAGGATGAGAGGCGTTGATAATATTGCCTACATATCAACTTGTTGCGTAGCCTTCAAGGCTTATGCCAATTGAGCCTCATGGCAACTCTGCTTTAGGACTTATGCGTCAAACTATATAAAACCTGACTCCTATGGAGTTATCAAAAGGAATCGAGCAGTTTAAGACAGACCCTATGGTATCGGTCATAGACATCATCTCGAGGACTTCTAAACACCATATACAGTTTCAATAATAATTACCTCTAACCATATTCTTCGCTATGTTCAACATCCACCAGCTTGTCGCTATCACGGGAGTATCTTTACTCACCTGCGTTTCGGCCGACATCACCGCGGCGAGCGCAGCTTCAGCGACAGCCGCCTCGGCACCTGCAACTACCACAACCACTATCCCCTGGATCGGGAACTATACAGCCACGCACACCCTCCTCCCATGCGCCGAGCTCAGCGTAACCGCCACCGTCGTGATCCAGATACCTCTCCTCGGACCAAGCTGCACCGCCATCCCCAAGCCCCCGAGTCCCGATGGGTCATGTCTAGTGAACCCGTTCTGCTCGCCCAGCGGCCTCAACATCGACTACTACCAGAACAACCTGGGGGACTACAGCCGAGGCGACTTCCCGTCGTCGTACTACGTCACCTCGAACCTGGAGCCGCTCGCCTCCTCGCTTACGAACGAGACCTACTTCCCGCAGGACGACGTCCCGGCCGGCCTGCCCGTCTCGTACCCGTAACCTGAGTGTCATACAGGGACTGGTGCTAAGAGGTTATTAGCTAACTTATGCGGCCATAAATTAGCGGTTAGGATAAGGTATTAAAATATTACTAATACATATAAATTAAAAGGATAGCACTTATATATATAAGTTACATTAATATAAAAATATTTAAGAAATTTAATATATTTTATATTATTAAATTTAAATATAAATAAGTTTAAAAATTTTTATTTAAATTAAAAAAAAATTAAAAAACCTTAAAATTTATAAAAATTATTATATAATTTTAAATATATATTTTAAATTTAAATCTTTTATTATAAATAATTTTTATTATTTTTAAAGAAATTATTTTAAAAATAATTAATAAAATATTAAATTAAATTTTTAAAAAAATTATTTATTTAATTATTTTATTATTTTATATAAATCGCTTATAAATTTTTTATAATTAATTATTTTTTTTTATTATAATAATAAAAAAAAACTTATAAATATATTTTTATTATTTTTAATTTATTATTTCACGTAATT